ATTTTCTGTCTCTTCTCTTATGCTCAAAATGACTTGGCACATCTTCAGAGCACTGTTCCCAGCTCTAGGTCTTGTAGGGAGAACTTAGCATGTTCATAATATGCCTGTGCTGGGGCACCAAACCTGAGACAGGCTTTGTCACTGTGACAGTGTTATCTCAGACAGTACTGCCCAGTACAGTGATGCTGTAAGTATACCTGTAGTGCTCAGTGAGAGAAGTGCTGCATTCAAGTAAGTTGGTTTGCAAACAGGGACATCTTGACTTTCAAATCCTTTCCTTTCTGTAAAAGAGAAGCGAATTACATTTCTTTAGCTTTCTTTACCCTTTCCTTACATCACGTCTAATCTTAGGACGTATATAAGGACAATGTGTTTTGGTTTTCGTTTTAGTGTGTGCACATAGCTTAGAAGACCACTGGATTAGACTTCTGGGTTGAGGACATGGCTTTGAGGTGGCTGCCTTTGCTGAATGATGATGTGCACAGTTTGCCACCTTCCTTGCCCAAGAGTGCCAATTGCAAATCTAATGGTGTCTCTTGCCTGGCCCCAGGCACACATGCTCCACCAAATGAAGATTACTGCTCTCATCCTAATGAATGACTGCAGCTGATTTGTGTCTTTCTAATGATGGAAAAAACTGTAGTGTTGCAGTCCTTGTGCTATTTTTTTTTTTAAACACTATTTTCTTGTGAAGTCTGCATTTTCTTAGCTAATTTACCACATCAAGGTGAAAAACTTCTGCATTACAGTTTTTCAGTTCTGAAGACCACTAAAAACATTCTGGTCAACAAATGTTAAATTTCCAGTAACAACTTGGTACCATCCTGAAGTGGCAACCCTTATAGGGAAAACCCACAAACCAGACTGGCCTGGCCAGATACTTTTATCTCCGTAGTTCAGCTGAGTAAATGATTCCTATGGTTCACTCCCCATGCCCCTCTGCTTTATTTACTAACATAATAGTAATGGGATCCAAGACAGAGGGGTTAAAAGCAAAATCTGATTTCTCTTTTTCCTTCTTTTTTTTTTTTCTCCTCTCTTTTGAGGACATGACCCTTTCGCATAAATGCTTCTTGCTTTCCCAATTTCTAATCCCATTGTGGAATGTATGGAGGCAGCAAATAAAGGACACTTAAATTTGACATAATTATATTTTCAGTAAATATGAAATTCTCTCATTAGTGTTGTAATGAAAAGCTTATCCACCCACTCCCAGGAGAAAAGGCAAACCAACACTGGATCAAATACTTGCAAAAAACAATAGTAAACAGTGTGAGCAATTAATGCTTTTGGTATCTGCTGAGACTGTGAAACCTTGTATCGGCTTCATAGAGAGTGTCTGTAATAGAAATCTGTGTCTGGTTCATTTTGGATTTTGAGGTTGCAAATTGTTGCAGCATTACAAGCTTTCTGCATCAAAGGTGACCGGATGTGTCTGCTAAAGGAGGGAGGATGGATGACACAGACAAGATCCACCTTTGCATTAAATCCTGGTGAGAAAGAGGTAACAAGCATGGGGAACGGTTGGTTCTGGGGATGACCATGAGGGATAGGTCATGTACAGAGGCACGTTGCTTCCTTGCACTTTCTGTGGATGTACAAACGTCTGAAACTCCTCAGTTACAGTAGGACAGAGGACTGGAAAGTAGAGGGAATAGCCCAGCACTGAGGGCTGTGGCATGAACAATAAGATGCATTTTTTTTCTCTCTCATCATTCATGTCTCTTGTGAATGGGGATGGTTGGTGAGCAGCAGGACAAGGAGCAGAGCAGTCACCCTGGGTTTCTGTGCCTTGAAGGAAACCTGCCTTGCTTTGTAATAGCAGTGCTCGCCTCCAGGAGCTCTCCTTTCTTTTGCCTGTTGCGGAGCTTTGCTTTCACCTGAGGTGAGAAGGGGCAGGGTTTTGTCGTGGGAGCGTGTTCCGGTGTCTGCAGGCCTCCAGCCATAAGGCTTCTGGGTTGTAGGAAGTGCTCCCAGGTGAACGGTGGGAAGAGGATCAGGGTCATGCTTGGACTGTGCTGGGGTTGTGCCGTGCCTGCTTACGGCAACAAACGAAACTGAGAAAAAGAGCTGATTTTCTTGGATATGTGAACAAGCAGGAAGGTGCTAGTACTGTCTGTTCCACTGAATTGAGATGGGGAATGCTAGATGGTTTTTAAAAAGTTGAGTACTTACGAATAAAAAAAAAAGTAAAAGCAGCAAGAATGCAATTTTAATATAAGCTATTGCTAGTGTAGTATGAAATTGTTTTTCTGTTGTTATATTAGATGCCAAAGAATTGAAGGCTCAGCCAGAGAACAGCCTGTTTAGTTTATACCTTTTCTTCACAAAATTTGAAAAGAAAATGTTGTATGTTGACATTAAAACAGAAGAGCAGTAAGTGATTTAAAATACTCGGTAGAGCAGTCCTCAGTATTTGTCACTTACAAGGACCAGTGTGTTTGTTCTTACATTTCTGATTAATTATAATCACTGGAGTTGCATTCTGCATCTTTCAGAAACCATAGTAAGCTATCAAAGGGAAAGCCTGCCTCTGTGTGCAGACATTTCACTGCTATTAGTATCTGAGTACTTAAGCTTATCAAGCTACGGGTTTATGTTCTCAACCGTGCTGAAAGGCAGAGATGTGATTGTTAGTGCTGCAAAGGCAGAGAGATTCAAGGCCCAACAGCTAGTGCTAGTGGTCAACTAATGTAGAACAAAAACCTGCTTTACATGAAAAATGAAGTTGTAGGAGCTTTTGGTCCTTTGATGCATGTAGTGTTACGTAGTGATTGTGAGTTAAGCAGCAGCTCCTTCTTGTAAGGCAAGATCTTTCCCCAGCTTCTCCTTTGGAATCTCCCTCTTTCCTCTCTTTGTCCAGTCCTGACTTGAAAGCAGAAACAGTCTTGTGTCTTTACTGAGCCCATGGAGACACAGCAGTGTGCTAGGATCCTCAGACATGGCACTGGTGGAGGCAGAAGTTTATTCTGGGCTGAAGTGCTGAGGACTTTGTGCTAGCGATACCAGATGACACACTGAGAGCACTGACTGCTGAGCCTCTGCAAAGTCCTGGCAGACTTGCATGCATCTTAAATGTGTGCCTGGTAATGAACGTGCTATAGAAGAGACTTGAACATCTGGTCACTTCATTCTAGTATTTCTTAATTTATAAGGATATGAAAATTTGAACATGATATTCGAGATAAAGTTACCAATCTGATAAGATTCATTACACATGAATGAGCATTGTTCTTGTGAATATGGAATGGAACTACTACTATATCAGCTGTGGCTCATTAGCAATGTACATCTCTGAGTTGGAAATCAACTTCATCTAAGACTTAAAACTTGTGCGAGTGTCCCAAACTCTCTCAGAATGCTGCTGAAGTGCTGCGTACCCAGGAAAAATTGTTCACCATAAATATTCTGCACGTGCAGCTTGGAGAGCAGCTGACTTCTTATTTTAAGAGTCAAAACCTTTGGCAGACAAACTATTTAATATGTTGCATGCCTGTCATGTGAATGTGCTTTCTGGGGTGCCTTTTCTCAGGAAGGCAGAGCTAGAGAAGGGACAGCCCATAACCAACACAGCTGGGGAAAACACTCAAGTCTTCATGAAACCTGTAAACAAATTAAACTGGTGTGGAAATGTATGTCTAATTTCTAAGACTTTTTCATTCCATGGGAAGAGAATGAGCATGTTACTGAAAATTAGGAGCACTTACTCATGGTGCTCCTGAGTGAGGAAATAACATCCACCCAATTCTTGGTTTTATTCTTTGTCTTTGAAGAGCAGATGAAACTGCTGGTGTGCTGCTTTTGTATAAACCTCTGTCCCCTTCCCATCTCCCAGCTGTGATGTAAGTGATGGCTTGCAGTTCATCCTGACGGTAGGATGCCAGCAGGTGCCCTGGGGTGATGCCGTGCTTTCCAGCCCCTGGGGTGCTTGTGGTACTTGCCACGACCTGCTGCAGTCTGGGGTCCCAGGGCAGTGCTGTAGTGACTCGCCGCCTGCCCCATCCCCTGCACGCTGGTGGCTGCTCTCACCACTCCTGTTTCTGTAGCTGGAGGACAGTATTGGCCAAAGCCAAGCTCTTTGATTTCTTGGTTTTCCTAGGGATTGTGCATTCTGGATGGAGACAGAACAAGGAATCTTGTTACCCGTATAAACTATGAGGCCTAAATGAAGCAAGTGCTTACTGTTGAAGCCCTCTAAGGCAAAGGATCTGTAGCACATTGCTCAGCTTTCCGACACCTCCTGCACACCTGGCAGCACAGCCAAAGCCAGACACAGTGTTGACATCCTGGGTACAGCATGGCAGCCTTGGGAGGGCTTTGAAGGCAGGGGAAATTACAACAGGTTAAAAAAATTAACCATATTGTTCTGTGGGAGCCTGAAAAGACAGCAAGCTGGAACTGACTCCTTAAGTTCCTTCAGATTTTTTTTTGTTTTGTGAAAAATGGAGAAACAGAGCTAAGGGTTACTGTGCAAATTTAGGGAGGGATGAGTGCTTCTGTCCAGGGTCGCCCAAACCAGCTTTTGGCCGATCCGTCTGCAACTATTACACTCCTTCTGGCGCAAGTAATTTGGATTTATTTTTTTTCCTGAAGACTAAAGCACTGTTTATTAATGCCAACTAAGGCCCTGAGTAATCTTGGAGAGCGGTGGGTTTTTTGTTGTTGTTGTTTTTGAAATCATGCTTAGTTTTTTTTTTCCCTTTAAGTTGCCACTTGGTGCCATAGCTGCTGGTGCCCTGTGTGGCTAGTCAGCAGTGCCAGCCATATGAGCAGTCTTTTGGATCAGTAAATTTGTCTGTTTTCAGGGCAGGAAAGCATGTTCCTCCTCCATCTTTGCCCCATAACAAAATTACAGCAAACTAGGGAAGAGAATTCTGTTAATCAGAGTAGTCAATTGGGGAATCATTAGCTCAGATTTTAAACACTATTTGTAATTTGCTTTAGGGTCTGTAGCCTAATTCTTTCCTTTGAGTTAATTAAAATATGTTTGAATTTGACAGACATTTCCAAATCTCCCTGCAATCCAGGAGGAAGGGTGGATTTTTTTTTTTTCCATCCTCCATCAAGTACAGAGGCTCTGAGCGCAGAAGAATTTCACTACAATGCTGCAAGGTTGTTTACCTTAGCTCCTTCACAAAAGATAATCCAACAAATTACATTAATTATAAACCAATATGTTCTGTTCAATTCCCACATGAGCCAAACCTGGGTATGAGCATCTGCTCTTATTTTCTGAGCTGGGTTTTGAGGACAAGACTCACAACAATGCTCAATCCATAATTAACAGAAAAATTAAAGATGCAACATCCCTTGCATCCTGCTTTTTGAAGCAGCATGTTTAAAAATATACATGCACTGTCCTGGCAGTTTTTATTCAACTTAAAAACAAAAAAAAAACCCCAAAAACAAAAACACACACAAACAATACTCTATTGTTACCACTGGTGTGTTTTTGTTTGTTTAAAATATTTACATTTATGTTAGGCTTAAAATAAACATGTAAATACTTTCCATAAGAAAAAAAGATTCATAATTCCCTCTTGTGCCACATTTTTTTTTTTTTCTTTTCAATTGTTTCTCTCCCTCCCCCCAAGATGACCTCTTTTCATAAAATGTGGTTTATTCTGCGTTAAGGATATTGTTTTCCTTATGAAAAAAGGACTGCTTGGGCTTCTTCTTATTTTACTTTTTTTAAGTGGCATATTTTTTCAGTTTCATTTCATAACAGGAAACAAAAGAGAACGTGATTGTTTGACCTGGTTACCAAAGAAATATTTGGCTAATAAAAATCCCATTTGCGTGATGCCAAGTTCTGCTCATTGTTTATGGTAAGCATGCCTATACAATTATGCTCCATTTGCATGTTGAAGGAGTGGGGGAAAGAAGGCTTTTGTGGTTCAGGCACTAACCTGGCACTTGAGATAAGAGATCAGTTCCCAGCTGTGTAGCAGACCAACTTTGAGCAGACTGCAAATTTCTGTGGCTTACTTTTGCAAAGAGGAGAAAAGCGGAGTTATTAATCCCATCTTCCATCTTGTTTCTGAAGAAACTCAACCTCTGAAGGCTGTGGGCCCCCACCTGTAGGACCAGGCCTGCTGCAGCCCCCAGTCTACATCCGGGGGGACAGCTGCATGGCCTTCACCTCAGGCTGTTGCAGGAGCAGGGCTGAAGGTGTAGCTGACCTAGTGTAGAGTTATCAATCCGTGCTTCACAGAGCTCATGCAGCAAGGGGCATAAATGATTGGTTGGTTGCTATGTTCTGTTCCCGTTTTAGGGAGGAGGAGCTGGACTTCTTGCTAATGAAAGCCTTTTTGCTCTGTGCAGCCTGGCTGGTGGGTTTGCCTCTACACATGGTGGTGCCAACAGTGGCTGTAGGCCTATTGCTGGGACCCTGCAGAACCCTGCACTACTGTTGGAAATGAGCGTGGTTGCTGCCCCGCTCATACCACCACACTGTAGGCAAGTTGGATTTCCTGCATTTCACGCAAGCCTTGTTTTAATGAATAAATCATTGATGAGAAGACAATAGAAACTCATTAACTACAAGGAAAAATATAACATGGAAAAGCTTAATATGTTGGGAAGTGTGTCTTTTGCAGAGAGAGAGAGAGAGAGAGAGAGAGAGAGAGAGAGAGAGGGGCCACTCCTCTGAAAGCCAAGGCAAACAGCCACCAGAGAGTCAGAAATGTCTCCTGTCCCTCAGGACCTGCAGCACAACTCAAGCTGCAAGCACGCTGCAGAGAGCAGGATGTGGTGAACCTGACCTCAAGGGGCTCCCTGCCTGGCAGTGCAGTGAGAGCTGTGGAGCAGTTCAGGGAGAGACTGCTGCAGCTGTTCTGCAGTGACTGGTTTGTTCAGAGGGTTTTTCTTGTGTAGCTCTCATTGTTAGAAGGGCCACAAACCTGGATGTAGTGTTCAGGAACATCAACTCTTGCTAAGCCTGTAGATCCTCCACACTTGTTATTCTGATGTTCTTGGTGTTCCCTATGCCACCTGCATAGGCAAGGCTCACTCAAGCTGTTCCTAACGGGGCAGCAGTGCTCCTGAGGCTGTTGTTCTGTGTGCAGTTCCATTTGGACAGTATAGACATATAGTCTTCCTGGGCCGCGTGTGGGTGCCTAATGTCCTTGGTGAGAGAAGCTTTGAGAGAAAGGCGTATCTGAACCAGTCTCCAAATGTAAAAAATAATAAACAGACAGCTCTCAGTTTCTCTCACATCTTTGATCATTTCCCCTCCCACTTAAAATGTGGTCCTTGCATTCTGGGACAGATGGGTGCCAAAACCTCTTCCTTTGCTGGGAGCGCGAGGTTTTCAGCTGCGCGGTTTGCAGCGCGCGCTTGAGGAGAAGCCTTCTGCCTTCAGTGCTGCTCCTGGGGAGATGTGTGTTCCTGTGCAGCAAAAGCATGTGCTGTGCAGCAGCCCCTGCTTAGTAGGACTTGGAAAATGACTTCAGAATGGCACAGTGTGAACGCTGTGCCCAATGTGTGATATTAAAACACTTAGAACTGGATCAAATCAAACCCGGTTTTCACCACAAATGTGCAGAGGCTGTTCTTGTTTGAAGACTCTTTCTTTGCCAAGTTCCATCTTTCCACACTGAGCTGCTTTAAAGAAAGGAAGAGGGAAAAAAGAAAGCCCTCTATATGTATGTATTTATGGAGCTGAACGTTTTTTCATCACATTTAATACAAAAATATTGTCTTTTGGCAGTGAATCAGCTAGTAGGTGTTGGATCCAGAATGTATTGTAAATTTACGAGTGACGGTAAATGACGTTTACACCCCGTAAATCTGGTAAGGAGGTGTTCAGGTCAAAAAATCAAGGCCTTCAAAGCTGAGAAATGACAGAATTAATAATTGAATTGAGCTCTTTGTGTGTCTGAACATGTGCGTGTATTTATAGTTTCAGTTACGTGACTGCTGATGTTGTTCCATGAGACCCGTCTCTTCTAGTGTGTAGGTGGTGACTCAGTTCTCTTGCACCGCGTGCTGATTTTCACGACCCAAGCCCTAGTAAGTTACCCACTGATGTCTGTTCTAGGTGGCCCAGGCCACAAGGCTCCCAAGTTAGGAGCACTCCAGTGTGGAGACTTGAGCACCAAGCCTACAGACAGGCCATTGCAGGGTCGCAGGGACAGGACCATGCTCTGAGCGAATGCTTCTGCCTGTCCCCAAGCCCCAGAAGCCAAGGGTAGCAGTAGTTGGTACATGCAGTTTGCTGTTAAAACCGTCTTCATAGAAAGAGGTTCCGTGGCTTCCCGTACGAGGCATGTTCCAGTGCAAAGCTACTTTTATATTTCTTTATTCCATCTAGTCATAATCAAAGTGATGTTTGCTGTGTATCAAGGCAATTCCTTTCTGTGCTATTTCTAATATTGCTGGAGAGCAATTGCTCAGTGTCTTTTACATAACCTCTTTTGGAAGAGCCTTATCGTGTAATCTGGTGTTTCTAAACAAAAGTTTACAATAAAAGCTGTCACTTGGAGCAAAGATTCAAAAAGCAAGGGCATGTCTGTGTGTTATTTCATTGGTTCTGCATTGCAGAACCTTTTGGAACCCACCACAGCTTGAAAGGAAAACCTTTAGAAAGTATTTTTATATTATTGGATTTTTGAGTTATTTTCAATTTGGGGATATTAGGTTTCCACATATTATATTTGGCTTAAGCTTTCTTATTTGCTTGAGGTTTTCTGCTTTTAGAGTGATTTTTTTTTTTAATGGATTTTTTTTTTTTTATTCTTTCTGTTTTAAAGCAGTGTGTTCATTACACTTGGTTCTGTAGTTTGGAGTCACTTGGAGGATTAAATGGCCTTTCAACATGTGTAAGGAGTTTAACCAAATTAAGTGGCATTTATTGAATGGGCTTGTTTTTATTTATTTACAAAGTTCACCAGGATATTACTCACTATGGCTCGAGTCTGATATTGATCTGAGGTCTAGGCCTGAGCAAGGGACCAAAAAAAGGGCAAATTAAGCAAGAACATCAGTAACAACTCTTCCAAATTAACTTGTAAAGTAAGTGAAAACCGAACAGAGGAAAACAGAGAATGGGGAAACCCACTGTTCCTGATATGTGGTGAGGTGGTGGCGTGGCCAGAGCAGAGCTGGCCACGAGTGTCTCAGAGCAGCAGCCATGGCAGTGCCTTGCTCCTGGCAAGCTCTCACTTGGCTTCCACCCTCAGCAGGTGGGAAAGGTTTTGACTGGGTGTTTGCATCACTTACCCTGGGCCTCTGAAGAAAGTCTCCAGCTCAAATATCAGTGCAGCAGGGAGTTTCCTTTCTCTTCCAGCTGAGGAGCTAGGCTGCCTGGGTTTGATGAGCAGACGTGGAGCCTGGTTCCATGTAGGGCACTAGCACTCTCCCAACAGACAGCTGTCTGCCTTGTGGGTCTCAGCTCTCATCCTCCATGGGGTGCCTTACTGCAGGTATCTCTGGACGCAGCCTCTGCGACAGTCACATCCAAGCTTTTTATCACTGTAAAATTTACTTTGTCCCTTTTATTGCATTTAGAAAAATTAGCCTGTTACAAAACAGCTGGCTGCTTTGAGGGCGTGCAAGCGTGTGTCTGACAGCACATGCTTTTACTTTTTAATGAACTATTTCCCCTGGCTTCATCTTACTTCCACAGTCTATTTTTGTTGTTGTAATGACACTGGTCAGTGAAGCTCAGAGGAAATCAGTCATCAAGATGCGTGGTGCTGAAGTGGTGTTTCTGCTAGGGTGGGGATTGTGTTAATGCCTTTGGAGATTTCTTGCTGTTGTCACTGCTGCATCAACACCATAATGCAGAACTACCTAAATTGAACCAAGAGTAAAAATGTGGAGCTATATAACTAAGTTACCTGAGAAAAATTTCTTGGGACATTCATTTTAACTCATGCTAGGACAGTCAAAGTGACCCCTAATATGTTCTGTTGGGATGCCTGGCATCTGTTACCTTACTCTAATGCACAGGATTTTCTTCTGTTTCCTCACTAGCAAATCTGGCCTGGAATTTGTGAAACTTCAACCTTTCGGAAGTGTGGAATAAAACTAAAATATTGAGATTTTGGAAAGTGAGGTTCTTTAATTAGTCAGGGTTAGATCAGAGTTTAGATTAAAAGTCCTCCCACAGAGGCCATCGGTAACTTTTTTTGGGCAGCTGTTTCACAACTTCTCTATTTCCCTGTCCTCTTCCTCCTGCAGGCTCATCTTTCCTATACTGTTTTGTGCTGCAGTTCTCTCAGTTCAGGTTTATATGAGCCTGGTCTATGAACCTAATTCTGCAGTAGGTGGTTACATCATATCAAACAGATTGGATTTCCTGAGGCCAAAAGAAATAGTGTTGGTTATCTTCCCTTAAGCTCCCCCAGCTCCTTAAACGTTATGACATTTCTAGGATATTCCTTTTGCTTTCACTGCCTTCACTTGCTTCACTTCTTATCCCTGCTCAGTTCCTTCACATCTTTGCAGAATGACCTGAATAAACATTCATTCTTTCTTGGGGAGGAAATACGGGAAAACCCCAGACAAAATGAAACACTGACTGTTTTGCTCAGCGGCCCTAGTGGCGTGTGGTTTCCACCACTGCTGTACTATCACATATATGGATGGTGATGTATTTATGCTTCTCTATGCACAGCCTTAAAATGTAATAAATCTAATTATTCTTGAGTTCTCCCTTCAGAGGTTCTACCTCAGTAAGGTAAGATCTTGAAAGATATGAGTGATCCGTGTCCTCCAAGTTTCTTGTTCTTTAGAATAAACTCTGTTTATTCACA